TTTTTTTTTTTTTTTTTTTTTTTTGTTCCGCACGACTACGTTCACGTACACCATAAAGAAATATTCCATAATATAAAACGTGCCGCGTAGAAACTCACGCGAACTGGTTGCTCGTATTCTTTTCCTCCTCTTCCCCCTTCTCATCCCTCCCGTGTCGTGAAGTCCTTTACACATATATATATATATAAAATATATATTATACGTCGCGGTAGAGGGTGGTCACGCTTTATGTATACGTTTGTAGAAAATTGTAACATGGATTTCCCGGTTTGCATTGCAGCGGTAGTCGAGGATTCACAGAAAGCGTACCAAGAAGCGTTTGACATAGCAAAGTCGAAAATGCAGCCTACGCATCCCATCAGGCTCGGTCTTGCTCTCAACTTCTCCGTTTTTTATTACGAGATCATCAACTCACCAGACAAGGCCTGCCAGCTGGCCAAACAGGTATAATTCACAAGAAACGAGAGGATGATGATGCCCGGGTAGTAGTGTTTCTCGCAGCAGCAATCGCGGAAGGATGCCAGTATAGGAAGGATATGGATGGTGGTGGTGATGCAGTGGAGGCGAAAATATGATTCTCACTTGATCGTGATCCGATGGACAGATGCTTTTATTTTTTACACAACTTGTCGACGTGTATTCCAATTATATCTGCGATACCGAGCTCCTCGTGAATGGACAGTCTGCCATGATGATCAAAAGTCGTGTACAGGAGATAGATAATCACTTCCTTTGGTTTCTCCCTCCCCCCCTTTTTGTTTCAATCCCTTTCATTTCCAACGTACATGTACATATGCAGATTTGCACAGACCTCGACGAACAGAGGGATTGATTGATTGATTGATTATGCTTTATCCGTTTAGAACATTCGAAAGTCGTAATTTAGATCTGTCTCTCGGTTTGCATTGCAGCGGTAGTCGAGGATTCACAGAAAGCGTATCAAGAAGCGTTCGACATAGCAAAGTCAAAGATGCAGCCTACGCATCCCATCAGGCTCGGTCTTGCTCTCAACTTCTCCGTTTTTTATTATGAAATTATTAATTCTCCAGCTAGAGCCTGTCATCTTGCCAAACAGGTTAGGGACAATTGACAAGTTTTGATGCAGACAAAATAAATTACAATTGATAATCAGTG